GTAAAAAGTGAACATGGAGAATTTTTAAACCACCATAAACACACATAATAATAATAATAATAATAATAATAATAATAATAATAATAATGAACTTTATTTATCGTCGATAACATGGGGAGTGGTCACCCAATCTCCCGAGCCAAGGGCTCATGTATAAAACGCTTGACTAAAGGAAATACAAATTAAATAATAGATAAATATGATATATGAGATATAAAAGTTCATTAAACTATATACAATAAATATTATCGATATAAAAGTTTAAAAAAAAAGAAAAAAATGCAACAAGATACAGCTCTCACATTGACATGCTTTATACTCTACATTTTTGATTAATGAATTGAAATGCTGGACTGTAGGAGATGATTTGGTAGACAAAGGCAATTTATTCCACACATGGGCAATTAAGTAAGAAAAAGAATTATGCATAAAATGATTATTATACGATGGTTGAGAGACGTTTAATCCACTACCTTGTAGGTTGTAGTTGGTAACTCTAGGCTTAAAAAAATTAGATATATAGTTAGGGCGATGCTTCCTAAAACTTTGGAAAAAGACAGTGACTGAATGTTCGATACGTCTTTGCTCAAGTGAGGCCGTTGAGGTGATAGGTAGACAAGCGTTGTAAGTGACTGAGTTCCCTAAATTTAAAATAGATCTTAATGCATAATGATTGGCACATTCAAGTTTGTTGTTCAATGTTTGCGAAATCCCTAGCAGTAATGGAGAACAGTATTCAAAGTTCGGTAGCACGTAGGCTTTTTATAAAGTGATCATCACGTTTGAAGGAACCAATCAAAGGAACCATTTGAAGGAACCAAAACAGAACTGTACAATGCATGCAGCAACTCTTCAAAGTTTAGCATTTTTTAGACTTTGCCTTTGTCAAGTACATGTTAATGATTGAAAAGTTTAATATAACATGGAAGTACTACAACAGAGCTCAGGTGCAACAGCTGACAAAGTTTAGTGGAACTCTGTTTTGTGAAAGCTTCCCAGAGATTGATGCCAGAGTGACCAGGCCAGATACACCAAAGAGTTTGTGCATCTGGTTATTCTTCTATTAACTCAGCTTTGTGTAATCATATCTACAATCAATAACCTGAGGCTGATGGAGATTGTCTTTTAGCACAATTGAAAGCACTCCATTTTTCTGGATCCACTCCTGTCAGGTAAGCAAAATACAGTAGTGTGAGATATGTAGTAATAATATTATACTGCGCAAAAGGCCAATTCACTACCTGTGGACTGTAGGCAGATACTTAATGTATGTTAACCAATTCAATTTTTTGAATTTCAGTATCAATATCGTAGCTCTTTATAATCAGTTCCTGATATGTTTTGGTAGATATGTAAGTATTACTTGTTTAATACTCACAGCCATCCTCTCTGCTGTTAGCCACTCCTCCTCGTCCGCAACAGTATGTCTGTGAGTGAAGTATGATACACCAGTGATAACTTTGTTTATCTGAAAAAAATAAATAAAAAAATTAATATCGATGGAATATTTTCCACAAACATATTAATCAATCAATGAATATCAACTTCATTCAATTTCTGCAGTAGATGATTATATTTGGCCACAAATTTTAGAAAAATGAAAATAGTAATCTCTCCTCCAATACATGCCCTTGTCGAATAAGAAATCCTTGTATCGTCTTAAATTTTAAAGAAGCCCCATGAGAGTACAAGTCCATTATTTGAATGAGTCTCCAGTGTACATTTTGTTCCATGCAAGTGCATTGAACAGGACATACACTGTAGCCGTATTGCATTACCTCATTTAGTGCATTCATCTTTCCATTAAAAGAAGAAATTTGAAGTAATCTATTGAAAAATGCAAATGTAAATAGTGTTAATAATTTTTAAAAAAAACCCTTGAAACCATTTCTAGGATGTTTCAATTTTTTTTTATCTTTAACCAACCTGAGTATCATTTTCAGTTTAAATGTTTCCAAATGCTTGGCAATGTCCTCTCGAGATGTGAGCCTCACTGCCAAGTTTCTAAGAGCCTAAAAACAACACAAGTTTCAGTCAAATGTGAAGTTGCAAATTTCATGCCCTTCACATCAATAAACTGCAGGTATGTTTGCAGCAAAGTTCATCAGTTTGGCATCTTTCAGTATGTTCAGTGGTCACGAGGAGTACTTAGTTGTGACCTTCTTTGGGAAAATGGACACTAGATGCTTTTCTGTCAAATCAGGGGTTTCATTGAGGGCCAGGCACCGGCCAAATTGACTGGTTGTAAGGACGGTTTTGCCCACCTGGTTTAACAATCGGGAGGAAGGTTTATCTTATAAAGAAGTTTAGTTCAAAAAGTTTTGCCCTCCTGTGAAAACCAGTTGCCCTCCTGCTGAAAAAATTAATGAAACCCCTTGTTGGGAATCGGTTTTCGCGGACAAAGAAACTCACAATTTCTTGATTTTAACAGTTTTAAGAGCACAGCATCAATCCTAGCTGTCACAATTCTTTTTTCAACTCGCTCTCTCTACTCTCTCACACTCCCACTTCTCGTCTCATAATTTATATCAAAGGACTCAAGGTTCAAACGGGTGAATTTGACGTCTAGCTGTCATCACCGGAAAACAGAAACTTCTGTAATGCAACTTGCAGTCACGACACCCTGCAAACGGTCTAAAAAGCATTGTTAATGGATACTAAATAGCTAACTCAAGCTTTTAAAGGGTTTCTACCACACAAAAAGTTCAACAGATTACCAAAGTCCAAAATTGGAGCTTATTTACTGTTGAATGATTGACCAAAATATAAAAAGGGGTCAGTTCTAAACATTGAACAGTTGACCAAAGTCCAAAAACAGATAGCTTAAACCATCAAACAGTTCACCAAAAATAAAAATAGTTGGCTTGATTATTACCGTTATATCCATTACTGGATTATGGTTCGGTTGACCATAATCCAGTAACGGATACCTTAAACCAAAAAGTGGTTTACCAAAATCAACAAAAAGAGAGCTCGAAATGTTAAGGGTTGTCATCAAGCCAGCAAAATCTTTTACAGAAAAAACTTCCTAAGCAACAACAGATAATTGTCTGGATCCATAACCACTGAGTACAGTGACTTGATATGACTTGAAAAATAATAACTGGGATACACTAGTGCACTTTATTTTTGAGTAAACTATTGACGTTTTCCTCTGACATTCATGAAGTGAGTGCATTTTACAGAGAAGAATTCCCCTGCCAAAATAATATCTTGAAGGGCTGCTGTAAGAAACAATTTAAAAGCCACAACTGCAAAAGCTGGTGCACTATTTGGGTTACATGTATGTGGAAATTTCCCAAACATGTGTACAACGCAAATTCATACACCCTTTACTGCTGTCACCAAACCATAGCCATTGCAAATAACAACTCCAGATTTAATTCATAATTTCTTCCTTTTTTATAATATTACTACCATTATTATTATTGAAAATGAACTTCACGTTTTTTTGTTGTGAAGTTTCATGAAACAAATTTGCATATTCAATGCCATGACCTTGTCAGAAGCTGAGATGCTTTAGGTTCAAATAATGCAATGCACAAGAAATGTTCAACTGTTTAAAAAATGTGCAGTTGTTTAGTGCAAATACTGGATGTTTGCTGCTAATGTTTTAAAGTTTCATGAAACAAATTTGCATAAGCAATGCTATCAAATTGTAAGAAACTGAGATGTTTTCTTCAGAACTTAAAGTGCCCCTGAAATCA